TTTAAGTATTAGTTAGATAGTTTTATAAAAATTAAAGATTTTAAGTATATTAGGAAGGAGTACTTTAGGCTCTTTTTTGATTAAATTAAACGAAGTTTAAAGTTACCAAAAAATTAAGATATTCAAGTTTATATTTCATCAATTACATTTAACATTAAATCCAAAAACAGATTATAACAACTTATTGACTTTGTAATTCATTTATAATAAACTACTAGTATAATTCTCTAATTAAAGTTTCATAGTTCTAGATTATAGCAATTTTGATAAATTAAATTTTGCATAGTAATCAATTATTTTATGCAGTACTATTTAATTGACTGAAATAGATTATCAGGGTAAGTAGAACATAGTTAATTATGAGTTTTTTGTTATTTCATTCAAAATTTTCACTTTCTATAAACACAATTTAATTAAAAATATTGATAAAGTAGAGAATTTATTCTAAAGAGCACTAACGTGAATGTTATTTCACTCACCATGTTTTCACTATGGCAATCGAACATTTATGAAATATTATTCTAGTTTATTAAACCTATTTAATAATTTTCATCCTAATTGGTTGTTTATTAATAATTTGAACTGGGTAATTTTTTCATTTAATAAAAATAGATTGAAATCGGATTAGTATTTATATCATATTTTAAGTATAAACATGAATGTACGAAATCCTCTTTCCACTTATCTTGAAAATAATAAGAGAATGAAAACATACAGGCTTATGAGTCTTACTAATATGAAGAATTCCTTGAGCTTTGTTTATGAAAATAAGATGATTTAAAAAGATATAATAGGAAATACAAGAAATAAAATAAAAGATTAACTGCTGTGATGAATAAAATTACCAATTAATTGAATCAATACCAACTGATACTGGATAATCACTCAGATATTGATATACAGACCATAATGATCATTCAATGTATGTATAACCATTAATAAAGAAAGTACTAGTTTATTTGCAAGTTTAGTTCTTAGCAACATCTGGGTAATTTGAACTACTCATTAATCCTACTCTTTATACATAATCCAAAGCATATTAATTATGACCTCCAGCACATCCCCATGACTATTAATCACAATCAACCATTGATTATGTTGATGCATTTATTTTTTGATATCCTTTTAAAGCATACCATGATTCTAATGAATTACTTACAGAAAATGTTCATCCTGAATTACATTCTCCTTTGATTTTTTACGAAAGTGTAATTCTCCAACCCAGAATTATTTATGAATTGTTCGTCAAATCCAAATGCAACTAATCATAATAGTCTAAAATTCATGGGAACTATGTAGAAGAAAATGAACATATTAGACTATATATATCCTTTTTAAATGTATTGAATGATTTATCCATATTAAATTTATTAATTTATAATTTACATTCTGATCTTATTATATTTCTTTATTTGGAATCACTACTTTCAACATATTCCAATATCATTCCAAAGTTTTCTAAATACAAAGAATTTAATTATAATTCAACTTTTTTATTATCAATTGTTATCAAATAAATATAAATGATAAGTCCATTTATTTATAAATCAATTTTCAATACTAAAAAATACTTTTTTTGGAATACAAAAGTAATTTGAGAACTTTAATCTTCAGAAAAAACTATTACAATTTTTAATTTAACGAAGCAATCTAAATTTTTTTTTTTTTTCTTCTATCTAATTAATAAGATATTTAACAAAATCACAACCTTATAACCACATAAATATAACGGGAAGCTTATATATAGCAGACATTATCTAAAAATTATATAATAAATATATTGATAAGTGACAAGATTTAATTCAGATATAAAGGACATAATATATCATATTTATAGAATAATATTAATCTTAAGCTTGTCATTTATTGTACTCATCAATGAAATACTTAAAATATTGATTTTAAAAATAATAATTATTCATACAATATATTGATTTTTAATCAAATTTACTTTGTGATAATAAACAGTTGTTATGATTTATTTCCTTTAATTTTTATTTTGATTAATACAATATTAAATTCTAGAAATTTAAGCTAAAATTTTCTGTTATATGTTATTTTTTCCTCTAAGAACAAGAAAATTTTAAATATATAGATTTAAATAAATTGACATCTAGAATATATCCATTTATTATTGCTAAATATAATATTTTTGACAAAATAACAAAAAACATAGTAAATTTATACAATTTTAATCACTAAAAACAACTATAATGTTCTTTTAAAATTGTTATTCCTGCAAGAATTTAATTTCATTGATAAATTTATATAAACAATTTTTATGTAAAATATTTTGTAGAATTAAATTGAACAATTGTGGAAATAAGTTATTCTATATTGAATTATTCTTAATCGAATTCCTAATCTGAAAATGATATTATTAATTAATGCTTCGATAAATCTTAGCAACAGCAGCAATAACACTTCTTTTGATTACAAATAACTATCAAACTTCATCATAATCACAATCTGAGTTTGAGATATGGTCTTAAAAGCATCATAAGACTTATTTAGGTTAAGAGAAAATATATAGAGAAGGAGTTTATTAGACAAATAAAAAAATGATTGAAGAGCACAATATAGTAGAATCCAGATCATATGATATGGGTGAGAATCAATTCATGGCATTGACAAAAGATGAATTTATTTCATTATATTTAAATTAATTAGATGCTCCATAAATGGTACAATAACAACCATAAGAACCTATTTTAAATATTGATGAACCACTTAAGGAGATCGATTGGAGTTCCTATACAACTATTAAAGATTAAGGATTATGTGGAGCTGGTTGGGCTTTTTCAGTTAGTAATTCTATCGAAGCTTGGTATGGAATAAGAGGAAGAAGAAGTATTATAGCATCCGCTTAATAATTAATTGATTGTGACTTATATTCAAAAGGATGTTTTGGAGGATATAATTATAATGCTATGCATTATATTTAGTAAACTGGATTAATGAGTGGTGTCTATTATCCTTATGTTGGCTAATAAGAAGGATGCAGATACAATACTGGAGAATTTAGAATTAACAATTATTAGTTCGTAGGTAATTAACAATCAACTTTACAACATTATTTATAAAATTATCCTGTATCTGTTGGTGTTGATGCATCAAATTGGTAATTCTACAAAAATGGTACCTTTTTTGATTGTGGATAAACTGTGAATCATTATGCTTTGGCAGTAGGATTCGATTTTGGATACAATTGGATTGTTTAGAATTCTTGGGGCTATGGATGGGGAGAAAATGGAACTATTAAGTTATCTCCAAATAATACCTGTGGCATACTCAGTCAAGCATATTAGATTGTTTGAAAAGTATAAACATAATATAAAAACAATATAATCTTAAATATAACATTACATCCTCTCCCTCGCTTATTACATAAATTATATTAATAAATCTAATTAAATAAGTATGATCATTTATCAATTAATCTTCATTAAAATATAAATATATAAATGTAGTTTTTTGATAACGACTAACAATTTATAAATAAATTTTAGGTATCAATTTTAAGAAATTAATATTTAAAACTATGTATGCATAGATATAAATAATCAAAATAAAAGAAAAATACAAAGAAGATGGATTCTCTTAAATTGGAATAGACTCTTTGGTTTAAACTGTTTCAAATCAATTGAATTGTATCATTATAGAAAAAAAGTCTTAAAAATACATATTATTTGTGAATTTCATATTAGGTTGATAATTTTATCATTCTTCTAAAGATAAGACAGATTTTTATATTTATGTTGAAATAATAAATATGAGGCTAAATCGAACTAGAATATTTGACTAATAATTAATATTATGATAATTAAGTAAAATCTGATAATATTCCT